GCGTTTCCTCGCCTACTACTTTCTGCAAGTCTGTCTCCACCATGTGACGCACTGCTGCATGAAGAGGTTTCGAAAGGAGAGCTTGGGCCCCAAAGTCTTGGTAGTGTTGACCAAATTCATTTCGGCTGTAGGTAGACGGTGGTTGATGCTCTACGTCAGGGTTTCCATCTTCACGGGGTTTTCCCTGCCTTCCCTGCTTCCAACAGGTAAACTCGTTTGAGGTCGGGGGTTGACTCATCACTTGTGGCAAGTTTAGCCCATGACTGCCCAACAGCTTTTTCAAGCTTGTCTTTGGTGATGATCTCCTCTAGGTTCTTCAGCGAGTCTATCAGAGCCAATCCTGTCGGTAGCTGGGCAAGCCGGGGTAGACATTGCTCAACTGTGTATCCTGTCGATGCTTGCACTGACTTGGAGAACACCAGCGCTTGACTTGCCACAAAAGCCGATTCTCGAATGAGAACATTGCTCGCTCGTGATTCCTAGTCCTCCTTCACGCATGGGCAGGTGCACCTGCGCCCGAGCTGTCCCTTTGAAGAAATCTACCTCCTCGCTCTTCGTCGGGTCTGCGCGTACTTCTTCGACTGTTGGTATTGTGTGTGTGTCAGCTGGCGTGTGTGTGTGAACCGGCACTATTGCGGGGCGCCGCGGTGCCCAATCGGCACTATAGAGGGGTCTCCCTCAATAGTGCCGAACCGGCACTATTGAGGGCGCTTTCTGTGTCCAGAGATTTTACCGGCACTATACCGGGCATCGGCACTATTCAATCGGCACTATAGCGGGCCCAGTACTGTACCCTTTTTGGGTACAGATAGCGCCTGCACTTGACAAGTTGAGGACCATATGTGAGCCCGGTTATGAATCCCAACACTAAAACCTAGATAGCCGTCATGCGTGGCCAACAATGAGAATTCCTGTAGTACTGCCTCGGCCAAAGCTAGAGGCTTCTAAGCGCGGGTGTTATCTTCAGTGGCCTATAACCACGAAGACGTCCGCGTGAGTTGGGCCGGTACGGATGTTAGAACGCCTGGACCCTCCTCGCGATAGATTATCAAGCAAGCATCGCAGAAACACAGGCGGGGGGATACAAGAAAACATCATGATACAATATTTTTTCAAGACTGGAAGACTCCTTCTTGCCGTGTGACCCCGGATGATATGCGTGGTCTAGGCCAAACATATCATGCACCAAAAGGTGGTGATGACCTTGTAGGACTTGAGTGATGATACAGTAAGCAGTAGGTCCTCCGAACTGAGCGGGCAAAGTTTGGACGTTAGACGCATGTGACTACATGAATGCAATCTGCAAGGCGACCCCCGGAAGCGAATGTCGGAAACCTCCCGTGCGCAAAAAGCTACCAGGCTCAGGTAACTTCTCATCCATCGGTATGCGTTGGTTGTTGGATGCCATGTTTTAGTCTGTGCATAGCATTCTCCCTTCTTCCCCTCGCTCCTCGACAAGCTTTTGCTTAGACATGGGTTGTAGTGAAGGGGGGGGTCTTTCTGGCGAGCAGGGCTAGATTCACCCTCAAGGGATGACCGAAACCTTCTTGCTGCTGCGCATATCCGCCGCGAGGCATGCGCGTGGTGGTGTAGTTGGGTCGGCACTGATGGGGTCAGGCGAAAAAATGTAGATGCGCGGGCCTCTGGCCGTCGGCGTAGGCAGCGATGCCCATCTCATTTTTTGTGCGCGGAGGCAGACACCGTCAGAAG